AACTTGCTGACCGAAAGGTTGGTGGTTCAAATCCGGGGAACAGAGTGCGCTTCTGCTGTTAGCCCCAGCTTCTGCCCAACCTGGCAGTTCAAAAACATGCAAATATGAGTAGATCAATAAGTACTGCTCCAACCGGAAGGGCAGGAGCAGAATTCAAAACGATCTTGACAGATTAGAGAGATGGGCCAAAACTAACAAAATGAAGTTCAACAGTGACAAATGCAAGATACTCCACTTTGGCAGAAAAAACAAAACATAAAGATACAGAATGGGGGATGCCTGGCTCAAGAGCAGTACATGTAAAAAAGATCTTGGAGTCCTCGTGGACAGCAAGTTAAACATGAGCCAACAATGTGATGGGGCGGCAAAAAAGCCAATGGGATTTTGGCCTGCATCAATAGGAGCATAGTGTCTAGATCTAGGGAAGTAATGCTACACCTCTATTCTGCCTTGGTTAGACACACCTGGAATATTGTGTCCAATTCTGGACACCACAATTGAAGAGAGATATTGACAAGCTGGAATGTGTCCAGAGGAGGGTGACTAAAATGATCAAGGGTCTGGAGAACAAGCCCTATGAGGAGTAGCTTAAAGAGCTGGGCATTTTTAGCCTGAAGAAGAGAAGGGTGAGAGGAGATATGATAGCCATGTATAAATATTGGGCTGTGTGAAAGGGCCACCAAAGGAACACAGGGCTCTTTCCTACCATCAACATACCTACCATCAAATTCTGTGGCTTCTGTGCTCCCTCTAGTGGCTGTATTCCATATACGGTAGTTTACTGTAGAGATTGCACATCTCTTGTCTGGAATTCGAAATCCAAAATACAACAAAACCCAAAATTGTTCATGTGGCTGACTGATACAGTTATACTGTTAATTTCTGATTGCTCAGCGTATGCAATATATGGATTTTATGTACAAAAATTCTAAAAATAGTGGGAAAAGGATGGGGAAAATACTAGAAAAGGGATGGATACAAGTAGGGAACAAGGGCGATTTCATATGAAATTTTAAATCTCTTTTTCATTAAATTGTTAAAATATTTACCGTATAAGTCGGTTATGTTATCTTCTAAACTTCCTCATGAGGAAAAGTGGCACTCCAGGGCCAGTCCAGCATATTTCTGTTCCAGATTGGCCCACGAAAAAACTGGCTTGCGTAGATAACCCCGTAGTTGTCAAAGCTGTAAAACCATTGAGGTGCAAGATCTCAATAAAGGCTTGTTCTAGAATGTTTTTTAAATGGCAACAGCTCTTTGTGCCACTTTGTTAATGAACAAATCTAGCACACATTTTCTCTAAAGCTCTCCAAAGTATAGAGAAATGAAAATGAAAGTCGGACCACAATGAAAAACAGAAGTTACAGAGGAACTTATATCCTACAGTGGAAATGAAACTTGGAAAATATAAAACGTCTAGAAATAAACCCACACAGTCACACTACTCCAAGCCGTAGCTTCGCCTTTTGACAAGCTGAGATCTAAATGGCTAGAGATGGCATTCCGTCTGTTTTCTTAGATGTACACCTTGTCTCTCTCCCAGAACTGGGATCCGTTGTATACTGCTGTCATTGTACTCACAGACTGAACTCCGGAGAACCTCACATTCCCCTTCCCAATTGGAGTTAGGTGCACACAATCCTCTTTCAGTTCATTTTGTGAAGCCAGCCTGGCTTACCATTACATTGGTGGAGAATATGCATTTTCATTGAAAAACAAGCCATGCTATTTTGGATTGATACCTCACTTCTCTCTCAGATCATGATCATTTAAATGTAAAAAGTCAATTAAAACACACAAAAAGATTAGCTATTTTAAAAAAGAATAGAAATATAAGGTAAAGGTTGTCCCCACACATTAAGTCCATTTGTGTCTGACTCTGGGGGTTGGTGCTCATCTCCATTTCTAAGCTGAAGAGCCAGCGTTATCTGTAGACACCTCCAAGGTCATGTGGCCAGCATGACTGCATGGAGCGCTGTTACCTTCCCGCCGGAGCAGTACCTATTGATCTACTCACATTTGCATGTTTTCGAACTGCTAGGTTGGCAGAAGCTGGGGCTGAAAGCAGAAGCTCACGCTGCTCCCCAAATTCGAACCTGTGACCTTTTGGTCAACAAGCTCAGCAGTTTAACCCACTGCACCACTGGGGGCTCCAAAATATAAACTCTACTTAAAATAAGTAAAACATTACATTAAAAAAAAAAGCTTTGGAAAAACTGTATGGGCCAAGACTTAATAAGCCCCATCCTTCTTGTCTAGTGGCCAATACAGTTTTCTAATCATTTTTCTTGCATGGTGCAAGAAAGCCAGGCATCCAAAGGTAAAGGGAGATGTATATACTCATATAGCTACAAATGATAGAAAATGTTTTGTATCTCTGTGGGTGCATTTACACTGTAAAATCAATGCAGCATGACACCACTTAAACTGCCATGACTCAATACTATGGAGCTGTAGTTTAGTGACGCACCATCACTCTTTGGCAAAAGACCTGGTAAAACTACAACTCCTAAGATTCCATGGAATTGAGCCATGGCCCTGAAAGTGGGGTGAAACTGCATTGATTCTGCAGTGTGGATGCTTCCTATGAGAGGCAGCATGAAGTAGTAATTTGAGCATTAGAGCTACACTGCCATATAATGCAATTTCATAATGCAGATTAGCTGCATTAACTGGAGTATATGGTAGTGTAGACCAGGCATGGGCAAACTTGGGTCCTCCAGGTGTTTTGGATTTCAGCTCCCACAATTCCTAACAGCCTCAGCCCCTTCCAATCCCCCTCAGCCGCTTAAGTGGGGGGGGGGGGGGGCTGAGACTGCTGGGAATTATGACAGTTGAAATCCAAAACACCTGGAGGGCCAAAGTTTGCCCACGCCTGGTCTACACTACCATATATTCCTGATATCCTCCCTAAGGATATCAGATCGGTCCCCTCCCTTTTAACATTTTGAAAGAAAGTCAAAACTTGGCTTTTTGAGCAGGCATTTCCAAATACAGTGTAACAGACATAGGAAAATGGAATGGTTAGACGATGTGATTGGACAATGTTTTTAACAGGAGACCTTAATGTTCATGTTTTTACTGATTTTGTCATGTTTTTATTACTTTGTTGTTTTTATTGTATTGAAATTGTATTTTATAGTCTTGGCCCCAACTGTAAACCGCCCCAAGTCGCCTGCAAGCTGAGAGGGACGGTATATAAATATAGTAAATAATTAATGAATTAATTAATTAATACTGCTAATCTGCATTCTGAAACTGCATTATATGGCAGTGTAGATCCTGCCTCTGGGTGCATCTACACTGTAGAATCAATGTTTTACTTATTTTAAGTAGAGTTTATATTTTGGAGCCCCCAGTGGTGCAGTGGATTAAACTGCTGAGCTGCTGAGCTTGTTGACCAAAAGGTCACAGGTTCGAATTTGGGGAGCAGCGTGAGCTTCCGCTTTCAGCCCCAGCTTCTGCCAACCTAGCAGTTTGAAAACATGCAAATGTGAGTAGATCAGTAGGTACAGCTCCGGCGGGAAGGTAACGGCGCTCAATGCAGTCATGCTGGCCACATGACCTTGGAGGTGTCTATGGACTACGCTGGCTCTTCAGCTTAGAAATGGAGATGAGCACCACCCCCCCCCCCCCCCCCAGAGTCAGACACGACTAGATTTAATGTCAAGGGAATATCTTTACCTAACCTTATCTAAGCTTGAAGGTACTACTAGTTTAGAAGATGTATTGTTGAAGGCTTTTGTGGCCGGGATCACTGGGTGTTGTAAGTTTTTTCGGGCTATATGGGCACGTTCTAGAGACATTCTCTCCTGACGTTTTGCCTGCATCTATGGCAAGCATCCTCAGAGGTAGTTAAGTGCCATTTCCTGGCCATTGTCCTTTCTTTATCTGACCGATTGTCCGAATGCCTGGTCCCAAATCCATGTGTTCAGTTTTTTCCTGAAGGAAAGGAGTGAGGTCGCAGATCTAATTTCCCCGGGGAGCAAATTCCACAGGTGGGGGGCCACCACCGAGAAGGCCCTGCTCCTCGTTCCCGCCAACCTCACTTGTGATAGAGGCGGGGACGAGAGCAGGGCCTCCCCAGAGGATCTTAAACTCCGGGGTGGGACGTAGAGGAAGATCCATTCGGACAGATACACTGGGCCAGAGCCGTATAGGGTTTTGTAGGTCAAAACCAGCACTTTGAATTGTGCTCGGAACTGGATCGGCAGCCAGTGGAGCTGGCACAGCAGGGGGGTGGTATGCTCCCTGTATGACGCTCCGGTGAGCAGTCTGGCTGCCTCCCGCTGGACTAGTTGAAGTTTCCGAACAGTCTTCAAAGGCAACCCCACATAGAGTGCGTTGCAGTAATCTAATAGGGATGTAACAAGAGCATGGACCACTGTGGCCAGATCCGACTTCCCAAGGTACCGGTGCAGCTGGCGCACAAGTTTTAATTGTGCAAAAGCTCTCCCGGCCACCACCAAGACCTGGGATTCCAGGCTCAGCAATGAGTCCAGGATCACTCCCAAACTGCGAACCTGCGAACCTATAAACACAAAGCACCCTTTAAACAAACAGATGTAGTTTATTCCATTTTTTGTGGCTGTAGATTCTTCCTTTAATGTCAGGGGAAAACTTTTACTTTTACCTTTGCCTTCTCTGCCAAAGAGGGCTGGTGCCTCACCAGACTGCAAACCCATAGCATTGAGCCATGGCAGTTAAAGCGGGGTCAAACTGCATTCCCTTTACAGTATAGATCCCACCCTAGGGCACCAGAGATCAGGCTTCGAACCCTAGCTTGCCTAATGGGTGATCTTGGGCAAGTCACGCTCTCTCAGCTTCTGAGGGAAGCAAAGGCAGTGGCCTCTGAAGCAATCCTGCCAAGAAAACCCGGGGGCTGGGTCAGCTGAGGGTCTTGGGGGCAAACAGCAACAGATGCGCCTCTACCCGTGTGTTTGCGTGGGCACGTGGGAATGGAGCGCGCCCCAGGGCCGCCGCCGCCTCCTCCTCCTCCTCCTTCCTCCTGGCCTTCCCCTTCCCCGCCCATGGCCAGAAGAGCGGAAAAGCGACGCAAGTCCCCCACACTTTTGGAGAGGCGCCTCTAGTTAAAGTAGCTGTGGCAGGAGGACCTGGGAGGCAGAGGAAGGCGCCATGGAAGCAGGTGAGGAGACACACACACACACATACACACCCCTGGGGAAATCCAGATTTAGGGGAGAGCCCCTGCCTTGTAAACAGGGATACAATCGGTTTCACTTTAACACACTCCGTTGCCTTCTGCCTGCTCGCTGTGCCTTTCTTTGGTGGGTTTCCACAGTGGAATCTTATAAGGAGACACATGGCTTTGGGGACAGCTACACTGTAGTTGGGCACCACTTGAACTGCCAAGGGTCAATGCCATGCAGTCCTGGGATTTGTAGTTTCACAGGATCTGTTCTCCTTCTCTGCCTTTGGAGAAGCAGCAGCAGCTCTCTTTCTCCTTCGTTACACTAGAGAGAATGAATCCACTTTGAATCCGGTTTCTGCCTCCTGCAGAATTCTGGGGTTTGTAGTTTAGTGAGGCTCTTAAAGGCTCTTCCCTAAACTACAAACCCCAGAATTCTGCAGGAATCAGCAACTGGATTCAAAGTGGATTCATTATCATGTGCAGTGGTTCCCAACCTATGGGTCCTCAGGGGTTTTGGTCTACAACTCCCAGAAATCCCAGCCAGTTTAGCAGCTGTTAGGATTTCTGGGAGTTGAAGGCCAAAACATCTGGGGACCCACAGGTTGAGAACCACTGCTCTAGTGGGATGAGGTAATTTAGCAGAGAAGGCTGAAGACCTTGCAAAGCAACAACTTCCATGATTCTGTAGCATTGGGCTATAGCTGTTCAAGTGGTGTCAAACTGAATTCATTCTACAGTGTAGACTGGAGATGCACCCTTTCTAGCTTAGACATGTTTGGAGACCTAAGGGGTGGGGGGGATTGGTTTGGTGCCAGAAAGGCAGCTGGCAATCATGTTATGTGTCGTTTCCTCTTTGTTATTTTCCTGCAGGTGGCAACATCTATGAAGAGGCCTTGGCCAACGGAGCAACTCAGGAGGGCGAAGAGGATGGTCAGATGAATGGCCCAGCCCTCAATGGCCCCGAGGTCCAGGTCAGAGATGATCCCTAGCCACCGCCACCCACCCCAACTCAGGCTACACCTACACTGTAGATTGAATGCAGTTTGACATCACTTTTGCTGCCACAACTCAAGGCTATGGAATCCTGGGAGTTGGGGTTTGGTTGTGGCCCCAGCCCTCTTTGGTGAAGAAGTCTAAGGATATTGCCAAACTATATTGCTCGTGGTTCCATAGCAGTTTTGTCCTGACACAGTTCAGTCGCCATCATGCATTGGAACAATGAGGAGCATGCTTTTGCTATTGAGGCCTACTTTTTGAGCGGATTTGGAGTGGCTGGCCCGCTCTCCAGATTTGGCCCTTGTGATTTTTTCTATGGGGTTTTTTTAAAATCCACGCATTCTCTTCGCTCATCTGGAGAGGCCTTGCTTGCGATTCCCCCTGCGTTGCAGGCGCATCTGGTGGGGACGCGAGATAGGGCCTTTTCTGTGGTGGCCCCCCGACTCTGGAACACCCTCCCCAAAGACATTAGACAGGCCCCTATGTTGGCAGTCTTTAGGAAGAACTTGAAGACCTGGCTGTTCTGATGTGCTTTTCCAGAATAGGAAAACTCCAACAACCTGTCCCAGAAGCACTTTATTAGACTTTAAGATTACTTGCACACTGCACTTACCCTAAAATCCGACATACCACCTGTCACATCAGCACTTTTAATCTGTACCCATTACATTTGGCCCGGCCCAGTTTTATTGTGTTTGGTGTATTGTTTTATTGTTCTGTTGTTTTTGATATTGCTTTAATTGTTTTGATTTGCTTTGAGTTGTGTATTGTTATGCTATGTTTTTGAGGCCTTGGCCTTTGTAAGCTGCATCGAGTCCTTCGGGAGATGCTAGCGGGGTACAAATAAAGTTAAATTAATAATAATAATAATAATAATAATAATAGCATTGAGCAATATTCAAACAGCTGGGATGGCTCTTGCATTTGTTTTCATGTCAGAAGCAACTTGAGAAACTGCAAGTCACTTCTGATATGAGAGAATTAGCCATCTGCAAGGATGGCTAATTCTCCCATTGCCCATGGGATGCCCGGATGTTTTACCATCCTTGTGGGAGGCTTCTCGCAGTCACTGCATGAGAAGCTGGAGCTGACAGATGGGAGCTCACTCCTCTTGCGGAGTTCAGCTGGCACAAAGGTTTAATGCAGGCATCCTCAAACTGCGGCCCTCCAGCTGTTTTGGCCTCCAACTCCCAGAAACCCTTGCCAACTTGTTCAATGGCCAGGGATTCTGGGAGTTGGAGGCTCAAACAGCTGGAGGGCCACAGTTTGAGGCTGCCTAGTTTAATGCATTGCACCACCAGAACTGTATGCAGAAGTTTAGCTGAGGCCCAAGAGACCCCCTCCCTGCAATTCAGTATCCCAGTTGGATTCCCAAACAGTAGCCAGTCCTCTCAATGAAGCAACCTACTAGTCTTTCATTGCCCTTCTTTGTAATCAATTGAAAGAATAAACTCACTTTAGCTGCATTCCCATCTTCCATCTAGAACAGTGGTTCTCAACCTGTGGGTCCCCAGGTGTTTTGGTCTACAACTCCCAGAAGTCCCAGCCAGTTTACCAGCTGTTAGGATTTCTGGGAGCTGAAGGCCAAAACATCTGGAGGCCCACAGGTTTGAGAACCACTGATCTAGGACCTGACCAAATAGGCATAGTCACAGCCAGGCTGTTGTGGCCATAAGAGTTTGGGCTCTGTTTGGGGCATGAGGGTGAAGCACAAATGCCCCTCACCAGTTGGGCAACCAGTTTTTGTTGGGGCTACCAGAGATCACGCTTCCTTGGATCATATACAAGGAGAAATTACATTTCCTCTTCCTCTTGACTTTTGAAGAATGTGGTGTCCAGGCTCTGTGTCTTGATAATTTGCCATGGTGCTTCTTTGAACCCAATCTATGATGCTTCCATCTCTAGTTGGAGGAGTTTGTGGGAGCCCATGGCGAGTACAATGAAGAGGAGGAGGAGCGGAAGTACTTCCGACGGAAGAAACTAGGTGTTCTCAAGAATCTTTTGGCAGCCAGCATTGGGGGGATGCTGATCTACGGGGTCTTTTTAGGTATGCTCTACCTGTTGAACAATTCTTTCTGTTGATGTTCATGATGTTCTCACTTGTCTGTAGAGGCAAGAATCCCTCTAGGTCAGAGGTAGGAAAATTACAGCATCGCAAATGTTACAGTTCCATCATCTCTTACCATTTACTTTACTATGTTGATGGGGGCTGAAGAGAGTTGTCCTTCAATAACATCTGCAGGTTCTTGTTTTCCATGCTAGCTGTGCAAGAAATGAGCCTGCTTACTTGCCTGCATGCTTGCTGTATTCTGGGAACTGTAGCCCTTTAAGTAATGTTTCCAAACTCAGCAACTACCAGGAAGTCTCTGAATAGAAAGCTTCACTCAAATAGTGCTTGCATGATTTATTGGAACACCGGTTTTGGACTGATTCACGTGGGCTAGAAAAGACTATTGTAATTGGTTAACAGGCCAAATCCAAAGGGTGCTTACTGATGGATCTTCATCCTGGAGAGGCGTGACCAGCGAGGTGCCACATGGTTCTGTCCTGGACCCAGTGCTGTTCAGCTTCTTTTTCAGTAACTTGAATGATGGAATATAAGGAATGTTTATCAAATACCCAAATGACACTAAATTGGGAGGGGTAGTTAATATCCCAGAGGACAGGGATGAGAATCCAAAATGACCTTAACAGAATAAAGAGCTGGGCCAAACCAACATAATTGATTTCAACAGGGAGATACAATATGTAAGGCATACAGAAATGAGCCTGTATGTCTTGACAACAATACATGTGAAAGGAGTCTTAGGGCCCTTTCACACAGCCATATAACTCAGAATATCAAGGCAAAAAATCCCAACAGATCTGCTTTGAACTGGGTTATCTGCGTCCACACTGCCATATAGCCCAGTTTAAAGCAGTTAATGTGGGGTTTTATTCAGCTGTGTGGAAGGGGTCCTAGTAGACCATAAGTTGAACATGGGTCAACAATGTAATGGCGCAGATAAAAAGATGTCATATTAGTGATGGAGCAAGTTTATTTTCTGCTACTCCAGAGACTAGGACATGGAGGAATTGATTAAAACTGCAGTAAAAGGGATTCCTCTTAAACATTAGGGGGGAAAACTTCCTTATGGTAAGAGCTGTTTGACCATGGAATAGATTGCCTCAGAATGTGGTGGAATCTCTTTTAAGGTTTTAAATAGGGGCTGGATGACCATCTGTGGGGAGTGCTTTGGTCATAATCCCTATGTGACCGGGGGTTAGCCTGCATGGTCTTTGGGATCTCTTCTATGAGTTTATGATTTTACAAACTTTTCTAATCTTGCTGCCTCTCTTATATCTTATATCTGTGGGAAACACAAAGACTGCTTTGGTGGAAGCTTATTTCCTCTTTCAATGCAAGCTTCCTTTTTCCTGTCAAATTGACTTGAGAAACTGCAAGTTGCTTCTGGTGTGAGAGAATTAGCCATCTGCAAGGACGTTGCCCAGGGGACGCCCGGATGTTTTGATGTTTTACCATGCTTGTGGGAGGCCTTTATCATGTCCCCGCATGGGGAGCTGGAGTTGATAGAGGGAGCTCATCCGTGTTCTCCCCCAATTCGAAGCTCTGACCTGTTGGTCTCAATTCCTGCCGGCACAAGGGTTTAACCCATTGCCCACTAGGAGCTCCAAGCTAATAAATAGGGAAGTTCAAAAACCACAAGTCTTGGCTAACTGTGACAAAATTTGTAGTGATTGTGTGTTGCATATAAGACACCACTTCAAAAATCAGAAAAGTGCTGCTTTGCTGATAAGGAAAAAAAAACCAAAAAGTTTTTTTATTGGAAATGTTAAATAGGTAATCTGTCTTGCTTATTAGAGACACTACAGACCAAGCAATGTTGTTAATGCTAGTTCCCTTCGTTAGGGATCTTCCAAGTGAGCCAATAGTTTTGGTAAAAGTTGGCCTATTCTGTCCTTGGATTTTGCACATGTGATTTTGTCTCCTGCATTCACAGCCAGTCATGCTGTAAATATACTGACATTATGTGCAACTGCTTCCTGTTGGAGTTGTGGTTATCTGTGGTGTGAGTGAGGTTCACTTCCTCCCCCAATATAGCCACATTCCTGTTTCATGTACTGATTGATCACTGTAGTCATATTGTTGCATTGCACATGAGCACATGAGCACTGTAGCTACAAAAGAAAAGGGGAAAAGAAGAAATGTTCACTTTGGTAACCTGAAATGTAACAAGAGAGGGATCTTCAAAGGAAAACATCTGCGGCAAAGATCACCTTGTAACATGTCAGAAGTGGTTCCTGTTCAGAAGTATAGGAGGAACCAAGAATATGGATATAAGTATGGGGTTTACTTCTGCCTGTATCAGAAATCCCTAGGAAACAAAACCTGGAAGGAACCAAGAATATGGATATAAATATGGGAGTTTATTCCTGCCTGTATAAGAAATTCCTGGGAAAAGATAGGAGTGGAGGACCACCCACCCACACACACACACACTGCTTTGGATTGTAATTTACACTTACAGCAGGTTGGTGGGAATTCAGCATGGTGAAGGCAAGAGTCCTATTAAAGCAGTGTTTAAGATTGCTGCCCTTAGAATCATAGAATCAAAGAGTTGGAAGAGACCTCATGGGCCATCCAGTCCAACCCCCTGCCAAGAAGCAGGAATATTGCATTCAAATCACCCCTGACAGATGGCCATCCAGCCTCTGTTTAAAAGCTTCAAAGAAGGAGCCTCCACCACACTCCAGGGCAGAGAGTTCCACTGCTGAACGGCTCTCACAGTCAGGAAGTTCTTCCATGTTCAGATGGAATCTCCTCTCTTGTAGTTTGAAGCCATTGTTCCGCGTCCTAGTCTCCAGGGAAGCAGAAAACAAGCTTGCTCCCTCCCCCCTGTGGCTTCCTCTCACATATTTATACATGGCTATCATATCTCCTCTCAGCCTTCTCTTCTTCAGGCTAAACATGCCCAGCTCCTTAAGCCGCTCCTCATAGGGCTTGTTCTCCAGAACTTTTATCATTTTAGTCGCTCTCCTCTGGACACATTCCAGCTTGTCAATATCTCTCTTGAATTGTGGTGCCCAGAACTGGACACAATATTCCAGATGTGGTCTAACCAAAACAGAATAGAGGGGTAGCATTACTTCCCTAGATCTAGACACTATGCTCCTATTGATGCAGGCCAAAATCCCATTGGCTTTTTTTGCCGCCACATCACATTGTTGGCTCATGTTTAACTTGTTGTCCACGAGGACTCCAAGATCTTTTTCACACGTACTGCTCTCAGCCAGGAATCCCCCATTCTGTATCTTTGCATTTCGTTTTTCCTGCCAAAGTGGAGTATCTTGCATTTGTCACTGTTGAACTTCATTTTGTTAGTTTTGGCCCATCTCTCTAATCTGTAAGATCGTTTTGAATCCTGCTCCTGTCCTCTGGAGTATTGGCTATCCTCCCAATTTGGTGTTGTCTGCAAACTTGATGATCATGCCTTCTAACCCTTCATCTAAGTCATTAATAAAGATGTTGAACAGGACCGGGCCCAGGACGGACCCCTGCGGCACTCCACTTGTCACTTCTTTCCAAGATGAAGAGGAAGCATTAGTGAGCACTCTCTGTGTTCGTCCACTTAACCAATTACAGATCCACCTCACCGTAGTTTTGCCTAGCCCACATTGGACTAGTTTCCTTGCCAGAAGGTCATGGGGGACCTTGTCGAAGGCCTTACTGAAATCCAGGTACGCTACATCCACGGCATTCCCCGCATCTACCCAGCTTGTAACTCTATCGAAAAAAGAGATCAGATTCGTCTGGCATGACTTGTTTTTGATAAATCCATGTTGACTATTAGCGATGACCGCATTTGTTTCTAAGTGTTTGCAGACCACTTCCTTAACAATCTTTTCCAGAATCTTGCCTGGTATCGACGTGAGGCTGACCGGACGGTAGTTGTTTGGGTCATCCTTTTTTCCCTTCTTGAAGATTGGGACCACATTGGCCCTCCTCCTTTGGAGATGAAAACATGTGCCCCCCCCCCCTCTTAGCTATCTGAACAGGATGGAAATAAATGCTGTCAACCTCTTTTGTTTCCATGATCTTTCCTTATAGGCCTGCTGCAGATGCAGCTCATCCTCCACTATGATGAAACCTACCGGGAAGTGAAATACAGCAACCTGGGGTTGCAGAACATTGACAGCAAGATGCTCATGGGCATCAATGTCACCCCAGTTGTTGCACTTCTGTATACTCCACTTCTCATCAGGTACGGCTCTGTCCTCCCTGCTCTTGATCCTCTTTTCATGGTGATAGAGTTCAGAAAAGTTAGGTTTTGAACTACAGCTTCCAGAATCTCTACTCACGATGTTAGGGAGGTTCTGGGAGCAATAGTTTGAAAAACAAATTTCCCCAGCTTGAGTTCCCAACACCTCTCTGAGGACTTGTATGGAAATATTTCCTTTTAAAGGTGAAGAACCAGGAAGCCTTCTCCCTGAAGTAGCCAGACCTTCAATGATCCATAATCCCAAACATTGTACTGCATTCTCTTTCCATCTTTTCCAGATTCTTCGGAACCAAATGGATGCTGTTTTTGGCTGTGGGCATTTACGCACTCTTTGTCTCCACCAATTACTGGGAGCGTTACTATACTTTGGTGCCATCTGCTGTGGCAATTGGAGCTGCCATTGTCCCTCTCTGGGCCTCCATGGGGAACTACATCACCCGGTGAGTTACCACAGAAGCCAGTCTGGGAGAGGAAACATCACTTGCCTGGCTCACGTCATATTGTCCATCCTATATGCTTCCAAGACAGCTATTGACTTATGGCAAGCCCATGAATTTCAAAGGCAAGGGATACTCAGAAGTGGTGCCTTCCTTTGAACAGCATCTACAGCACCTGGCATTCCTTGGTGGTCTCCCAACCAAATATTAACCAGGCCTAACCCTATTTAGCTGGTTGAGCTCCTTTGTCACCAGTATTGTGCATGAGAGCCTAAACAACCTGAAAGCACAAGTCTTCACCAGATATTGAATGTTAAGTAGGTTACTAACAGGAGCGCCGCACAGGGAGAGAACCACTCCCATGTTGCAGTAACTCCACTGACTGCAGGTTTGCTTCCAAGCTAGATATAAAGTGCTGGTCACTATCTTTAAAGCCCTAAATGGCTCAGGTCCATGCTATCTGTCAAAATAGCATCTCCTCATATACATCAACTTGGGCACTGCAATCATTGGAGGCCCTACTCTCAGTCCCACCCCCGTCTCAAGTGTGGTTGGTGGGAAGAAGAGAGAGGGCCTTCTCTGTGATTGCCCCCCCCCAAATCTAGAACTCCCTCCCTAAAGAAATAAAAACTGCCCCTCTCTTCTCTCCTTCAAAAAACATTTAAAACTTACTTCTGTTAATTGGCATGCAGACAAAAGGATGATTAGAAGTTTACATTAAGTCAGTATACCTGTTCTGAACTTGTGATCATACTCTAACGTTAGTTTTGGCTCAATTTGTACCGTTGACTTCACTTGAGTTATTGGCTGTATAATATTTTAAGAATTATTTTAATTATTTTAAATGAATGTTAATTGTTGTTTATATAATTTATGTTTAATGGCAGCTATGTTAGATGTAGATTAAGTGTCAGATGTAGATTAAGTGATAGATTATGATAGTATTTAATTTTGGGGGGTATAATTTGGCTGTGCACATTGTCTTTTGGGGACATGGTTGTTTGCTTTATGTTTCTTATTTATGAATTGGATCTGGCATTGAATATTTGCCATCTTTTGTTGTGAATACACTCTAAATCCCCTTGGGGAGAGAGGGCAGGATAAAAATAAAGTATTATTGTTATTATTATTATTATTATTATTATTATTATTATTATTATTATTATCATATAGGGTCAAGCCAGGTTAGTACCTGGATGTGAACAATGAGTTGTCAAGCAACGTGATGGCATGTATGTACACTCAGTGCTATTTTGAATGGCATTTGCATTGAGACTCAGACAGGTTTCACATATTTTAAATGTACCAACCCAGCCTGGTGGAAGTATTTCATGGAAGTTTCCAATTGTGGAGTAATGTTTTGTCAGTCTTTAAAACAGAGGTGCGCAGAAGCCCTTTACTTCTTTTTGGTACAGTCCCCGCACACCCTGAATACACAGTCACCCCTATTTTTTCCTGATTAAAGGAGAAGAGATGTGTCTGGGAATTTTCAGGGGTACAGTTGTACTTGGAAACAAGGCAATCTCCTCTCCTGTCTCAAATTCCTTTTGTTCACTGACAGAGGAATCTAGAAATGGGCTTCTGACCATTTGCATTTTTCAAGAGTAGTGTTGCCTGTAGTGGGTCCCAGGGTACAAAACTGGAACCCAGGAAGGATTTTTTGCCTTGATTTAAAGCAGAAATGGGCAATCTGTGTCCTATAGCAGAATGTGCTCCCCGCTGCACAAAACAACAATAACAAGTCAGTTCTTGTGGGTTTTTTTCGGGCTATATGGCCATGTTCTAGAGGCATTTCTCCTGACGTTTCGCCTGCATCTATGGCAAGCATCCTCAGAGGTGAGGTCAATAACAAGCTTTTTCTGGCAGCCCCCAGCCCTTCCAGACTTTCCACTCTGGACAAAAACAGAGAGGTATCTCTCAAGGAAAAAAGAGCCACTGTTTAGGATTTAAATAGCTGTCATGCCTCTGTACAACTTAACATTTAAAAAAGAATCTGTGTTTTTCAAAATTCGAATTAGCCTTTTGGCCACTTCCTTTTTTGTTCTTTTTGGAGTTATGCTGCCCCCTAAAGAGCATCATAGATAGTAAAAATGACCCACTGCAGTTGCCAGAAACAGCTCTGCTTGAGGACTAGCATTATCCATTACCGGACTTTTTGTGCTACTGTCTTCCCCAGGATGGCTCAGAAGTACTATGAATATGCGAACTACAAATTGGAGCATGTCCAGGAACAGAAACGGGCCCCACGTGGAGCTTACAACTCCTACATCATTGTCTTCCAGACAGTCTTCTATGGTCTCTTTTATGTGAGAGCTCTGCTACGGTCATGTTGTGGGGAGGATGAAGCAGGAATGGTCCAGTGGAGGGAGTGAAGGTTCAGAAACATTCTCCCTCCCATGGTGAAAGTTTGGCTCTCATGGCGCACTTGCCTGACATTTTCTCCCATTGATCTTTTCCAGCTGTGTTTTGTCTGGTCCCAGTTCCCCATGCATTTCTTCCTAAAGGGTTACCTTTATGACCTGAACCATACACTCTGCAACGTAGAGCACTGTGGTGAGTATCCTGGGAAATGGCTGCAGTCTTGGCAGGGTGGATGTTCCTCTTGGAGGCTTTAGCCTCTGAAACTTCTCATACAGCTCCATTAATATCCATGGATCATTTACCCACCTCCAAATGTATAGTGTCTAGATTCAGGGGAGTCATGCTACCCGTGCTCTATTCTGCCTTGGTTAGACCACACCTGGAATACTGTGTACAATTCTGGACACCACAATTAGCCTGAAGAAGAGAAAGCTGAGAGGAGACATGATAGCCATGTAAAAATATGTGAGAGAAAGTCATAGGGAGGAGGGAGCAAGCTTGTTTTCTGCTTCCTTGGAGACTAGGACACAGAACTATGGCTTCAAACTACAAGAATGGAGATACCATCTGAATATTAGGAAGAACTTTCTGACTGTGAGAGCTGCCCTGGAGTGTGGTGGAGGCTCCTTTTTCGGAGGTTTTTAAACAGAAGATGGATGGCCATCTGTCAGGGGTGCTTTGAATGCAATTTTCCTGCTTCTTGGAAGGGGGTTGGACTGGATGACCCATGAGGCCTCTTCCAACTTGATGATTCTATGATTCTATGAATGATATTTTTTCCATTAGGACATTTCCTAAGCATTATGTTCTCCTCAGGTACCAGAACCCATGGGATCCTCACAGGGTTCAATACCACGGTTCTGCAGAAGCTTCCACGTAGCAGTGAACTCATCACTGTGGAGAGTGTACTCATGGGAGTGGCCTTCCTCTCCATGCTACTGGTAAGAACGGATAAGAAAAGTGCAATGCTTAACTCAAAACCGGTGGTTGTTCTTCCTACAGTTTATTTTACACCCTGTGACAATCAACCATTTGTACAACTGGAAGAGAGGCAGGTTATTTGTTTTGTGAAAGACTATGCAACTGATGTGATCCACCCCACCATCATCAAGGTTACATGGTGATTGTTGTCATTACAACAATATCCACAGATTCTGCATCCACAGATTCCACCATCCATGGCATAATAATGTTCTTTTTTTCAAAATGCCAAAAGCAAATCCTGATGTTGTCATTTTCTACAGGGGACTTCATTTTACTATTTTAGTAAAATACCACTGTCTGTAATAAGACTTGAACATTTCCAGATTTTGGTATCCACGAAAAGTGTTCTGGAACTGGAACCAAACCCCAAGTTCCAGGGGTGCATTGTATTATCTATTTTATTAATTTCATTTGTATTGGAGAGTGGGGCAGAAGACTGTTCCATCTTGTTTCCTGTGCTTTACTAATAATATAATATATTGTATATACATATAATATTTATAATATTATAGTGTAATACAATATAATACTAATACTAATAATATAATATTATAATTATATATTTTATATTACATGTAATATTACTAATAATATTACAATATAATGGTATAGTAAAATATAGTAATATATAATACTGATATTGTACTATACTAATAATATAATATAGTGTGTGTGTGTGTGTGTGTGTATATATATATAGTAAGCCGCTTTGAGTCCCCTTTGGGGTGAGAAGGGCGGCATATAAATGTAGTAAATAAAATAAAAATAAATATGTTGCCTTTCCCACTCATAGGAAGGCAGGATGACTAACTATGTATATAGCATGCAGTTAAATCACACATTACAAATATCCAAAATAGCAATATTTAAAAATCACATCTAAAAGTGGAAACAAGTCAGGAAACTAACATTATAAACAGAGAAGTCAGCAACTCTAGTATTGTCTTTGTTCCTAAAGTCTCAGGCTTTCCTTTGCCCCAGGTGCTGATTCTGTGTGGCTCAGCCTATCGCCCCACCGAGGAGATTGATTTACGCAGCATCGGTTGGGGGAATATCTTCCAGCTGCCTTTCAAGCACATGCGAGACTACCGCCTGCGCCACCTCTTCCTCTTCTTTATATACAGTGGCTTTGAAGTGCTCTTCCTATGCAATGACTTTACCCTGGTACATTGATTCCTACAAACTTGGGAGACAGGATGGGCTGGGTGTGTAATGAGGACAGGCTAACTAATACTATTTCTCTGCCCATCCCAGAATTATGGTGTCTGCTCCATTGGCCTGGAGAACATGGCATACATTCTGATAGCATACGGACTTTCGGCAGCTGTTTGCTCCACCCTGACACTCTCCATGCTGTGCCTGCCACGCCAAATTCCCCTACTTGCGGGTGCTTTTGTCCATGGTGTCCTCTTGATCGCCCTCTTCTTCTGGGAGCCTCCGGCCCGAAGCTTGGCTGAAGCCTCCATTCTCTACCTCGTTGCTGCGCTCTGGGGCCTTGGCAGTGTCCTCAACAAGACCAGCCTTAGTGGTGAGCCAAATAATAGCTATCTGAGTCAGAAATCTTGAGACGTGTCCCTTCTTATGTTACAGCTGGGTCTTTGTTCCTATCTTTCTCCAGACTCATGGTCTGATGTTGTAAGCTGCTATCGTTTCTATAAAAAAGAATATAGGTGAGAAGAAGATAAATCAGAATTTACTGGTAGAGCTCTAGCAGTTTACAGTAGAATGTCCAAGGATTTTCTGGATGTTGTGTTACAAATACAAAAAAAAAAAAAAACCCACATAGAGGAAACTGTCAGTATCAGTGAAGCAAAGTCCATACTTCATATTAAGTTGAAAAGATACTGTTTGGGTACAAATAGGTTTGTATATTGAAATTAGGAGTAAGTTTGCAGGTGAACTGTTGAGATAATTTCTGGAACTGAAAGAAAAACAAACCTGGGTTGGCCATATACTCAAAGGTGCCATTAATTCTAAATGTTTGGTCTCTATTCAAAAAGGTGTTTTTGCACCTTTTGGAGTAGTTTTATGATTGCTGTTCTTCTTCCACCAAACTTGACTCAAAATCTTTCGAATTGGTTAGTACTGGGTCATTACCACAGCTTGGCAAAGTAATGTTTTGTACTCACAGCCTCTGAGGATGCTTGCCATAGAATCAAAGAGTTGGAAGAGACCTCATGGGCTATCCAGTCCTACCCCCTGCCAAGAAGCAGGAATATTGCATTCAAATCACCCCTGACATGCAGGCGAAACATCAGGAGAGAATGCTTCTAGAACATGCCCAACCCAGTGATTCCAGCCATGAAAGCCTTTGACAATACAATGTTTTGTACTGCTGCTCCTAGCATATCGCTGGCCCTACTGGCTAGGTAGTTATGGGAGTTGTGATTCCAAAAGTTAACTTTGCTAAGCTCAACTTAGAGCAAGAGAGACAGACCATCCTTGAATTGAATCACTGCTCTCATTCTTTTTCTTCAGCACTCCTGGGGATGCTCTATGAAGACAAAGAGAGACAAGACTTCATCTTCACCATCTACCACTGGTGGCAAGCCCTGGCCATCTTTGTTGTTTATCTGTGGTCTTCACTGCCCATGAAGGTGAGGACCAGGGTTGAGGTGGGAGTCTTCAACCGAGTGGAATTCTCACATGCTTTAGGGCAAGCTGCATCCACTAGTAGGTAGAGTATGAGAATTACTTTCAGATCAAGACAATCCTACTGGCCCAGAAAGGGTGAAGCATTCTAAGCTATTAGTGTTTTTTACAGTCAACCTTTCACATTTTCAGGTTTCACGTTGGTGAATTTGGTGATTCACTGGTGTAGAGAAGTGTTCATTATACTGTGTTTCAAACTGTGTTTAGGCTTTACATTGTGGCCAGGGCCTAGCTGAGAGAGAGATAGGTTGCCATGGTGACAAGCCAGAGGAGGTGGGCGGGAGCTTAGGTAAAAAAGGTTTGAAAGCGACAGTTTATTTTCAGTCAGGCGGATGAGACCCTGAGGAGAGTAGCAGAGTCAAGGAGGCTCTGTGGAGTAGTGTAAATTCAGTTAGTTCTTAGGTTTTGTGAATATTATTCCAGCTAGGAAGCTGAAGGTGGAAACTCGTTAGATTGCTTGAGTAGAAAAGAATCTAACAAGAAAGGGTTTCAGGGATCCCAGGGGTGAAAATCTGGAGATCGTTGGTTTGATCCGGTGAAGGACAAACAGTTGTAAATATTCACAATAGGGAACACTGAAATAATAAAGTACCTCACTGTAGAAAGAGTTAAAGGATTGTAACATCGGAAGACTTAATGTAACTCAACCAAGCCATTTTGTATCCATCAAGCTTGTGCCAAGTTCAACAGTTTAATTTTGCAACTATTTACGCTCTGATAACAATAAACCTGTTCTTTTTGTGTTTTAAACTTGCCTCCTTCACTGATTTCCACGTTTGAAGCATTCCACACTACCCAAGGTGCCTCACAACACAGATAAGGATAACCAGAGATCATTTTTACCAATATCTCTTATATTATGGTGGCAATTTAAGCTAGAAGTCTCAAATCTTTATTACATCTGTGTGGTGATCCTATTTATTTGGGATTTTACACCATTATTTCATTTTGGAGACTTCCTCACATATTTTGGTGGCAGCAAGTGAACGGTTTTAAATTTTTAGTAACAAGCGGTGGGAGTCACGGCTTCGCAACTGGTTTGATTAAAATGTTATCTCTAGGAATCTCTAGGTCCTCCAGTGTGACTATGGCCAGTTTCCTTCAGTTGAGCTGGAAGACCTAGATATCCCCAAAGAGAACATCTCTAGGAATGTCTAGGTTCTCCAGTGTGATTATGTGATCAGCTTTGTGGAAATTGATGATTGAGTTGTGCTGGAAGACCTAGAAATTCCTAAATAGATGTTTTCTCAAATAAAAAACACAATCTGCTTATTCCATTTGCCCCTAACCATAGTGAAAGTGGAGGGCTGACTCAACTTGAAAGTAAAAGAAGAAAATAAAGGGAGAGTGAAGTGTAGTTTTTGGGATGTTAGACTGCAGCTTCCGTTTTTCCTCACTATTGGCCATGCTGGCTAGGGCCAATGAGAACTGAAATCAAACAACATCTGAAGAGCCACACCTTACCACCTCCTCAGAGAAGAGAAGGTTTCAGCAGCTAGAAGTAAATAAGAGAACAATTGATATCTCTAATTCTTTGTTATTTTAAAAAATGTTGTAACCAATGGAATCTCTTTCTTCCAGGCTAAATTATCCATCTTGTTACTTACACTGGTAGCTGCAGTTGTATCCTACCTGTGGATGGAACATAAAGTAGCTCAGTTTATCCCACACCGCCTTCCCAAGATCCCCAAACCACGGCACAAGATGCGGGGCTTCCGCTATCTGGAAGAAGAGAACTCTGATGAGTCAGACTCAGAGAAGGAGGACGAAGGGAAAGAGAATGACTCCTCGGAGGGAGAAGCGCCCAATGACCAACAGGACCAGCCTCGGCGCAGGAACAGATGTGCCTATGAGCAGGCCCTTGGGGAAGAAAATGGAGACAATGCTGGTTAACTTTTACCACAACTTAGCACGTTACGGGTTTTTAAAAATAATTCATTCCCATCAACTCATTGTAGTATTTAAAGGACGGCTTGTTTTATGTGTTATTACTTTTTCATCACTTTTTGTTAGTTGTTTTACGAAATTCAGGATTCATCACAAGCAGACACCAAACCTGAAAATTTGATCTCAAAATTATGGATATCCTATCAAACATTTCTTGGTACTCCAATGCAGTAGTATTGTTACCATTATGTAATGGGAACAATATCACTGCATTGGAGGAGTGCCAAGACTTTTTTTGAAATGTAATTTCCCCATGACCTTATTGCCAAGAAAAGTAACCCAGTATTAGTGGTAACAAAATTGCTTTTAACTTGCTACAGGTTCAGCATCCCATATCTGAAATGCTTGGGACCAAAAATATTGTGTATTTTAGATTTTTTTCCAGATTTTGGAATACAATACAGGTATATACGTGTAGAGTGGTGTAAGGCAGCAGGGAGATGACAGCAAACATCAACAGGTATTCTTCAGGCTTCCTTGACTCCGAGGAGAAAAGAAAAGCAGGAAGGAAGAATGTGGTGTGGCTAAGTTCACAACCAAATTTTGCACAAACAGTGCCCATGGCTGCTCATCCACTGCCACTTCCCAGCCAGTGTGAAGTCTAGAGTGAGATGGTACAGTGATGAATGATGGAAACTGCTTCCAGCTTTGGTCCAGTGGAGAGCTCCAGTCCAGAATCCCAGTACCTTTCTGTGGACAGAGTTCATACCCAATCAGAGCCTTTCCTACCCAAAAGCTGGATATAAGGCCACTTCCAGTAGTAGCCTGTGGGACTCCATTATGGCAGCATAGGGAATCAGAGAAAAAAATGCATATTCTGGAGTCAGGTACTACCCAGTGACAGGAGAAACTGGGAAAAGGATGTGGGGCGGCTGCCATCACTGATGATGGGACTTCAACAATAGGGAATGAAATAAGACCATTTCCCCCATCCCTCACCACCACCACAATGGGATGAAGTTCTTTGTTTTCTTTGGTGAAAATTTCCCTCTCTTTTTTATTTTAGTAAGAACTAGAAATAAAATTTCAGTATATTTTCACATACAGGTGGCTGTAGTTTTTATGTGATGTCTTCTTTCTCCCAGGAGTCATATCTAAGAAACCTATTTCACCACATAATTGTCATACATTTTATGCCAAAAAGGCTTTGGCCAAAATATTGAATGTGACCATTAGATAAAGTTAATTTTAAAAAATAAATCTGGTATTGCAATATAAGAACAAAAACAATATAAGAACAAAAACTAGTGAAGCACAGTAAACGTAAAGAAATTGAGCACATATGGTCTTTAAATCACTTCTTTCAATGGGACTAGTATGCTTTTTTTAAATCACTTCCTTTAGTTGGGAACCCCATGATATTTTAAACTATTTCTTGCAATGGAAACCTTGTGATCTTTAAAACCACTTCTTGTCAATGGGGACTGGGGTCAGATGAAGTGAGAAGAGATTGCCACAAGCAAACCATTTTTCCTGTAAACCACATCCCAGGTCTGTGGGATTTTTCCTACAGCACTGCACCTTAAAGTTATTCTGGACATCAGCAACTGAGATTTGTAAATGTACATATTCATCTTTGGCACGTGTGCTGCAAATTGATTCCTGGCTGTGGGTGGATTGATACTGACCTTTTATCTTGAGGCTGATCTGGCATTTGCCAGATGATTTGCCCCAGGATGATTTTCAAAGCAGTGAGTCCAGCTATCCTTACTATTCCCTCTCATTTTCCATGTCATGGTGATCTCAGGGTGTCCATTGCTTCCGGTGACATCAGCTGGGGCAAAGAGAAAGAAGAGAAGGAATCACTTCACCCCTCTTTGCTCCCTTTCACAATCACCTTGGCTGATGCCACAGTGTTATCGAACACAGGTACCCCAACCCGTAATAAAAGGGGATGTATAGTTCACCATAAGGATTTATAGTTTTCTAAGGACAAGCCAAAATGAAATAGAGCACCGCTCTTCTTCCTACATGAAGCCTCTCAAGGCCCACCTCCTCCAGACCCTTGCATCTCTCGTCTATCCTAACCATGAACTATATTTTATTCCACTTTATTCATATGAATCTATTACATATGTTCTAATTTACTTCTGAGACAGGAAACATTGGCCTCTGCCTAACCTATGTCAAGAGACAAACCATCCAGCTATTGTCCTATGCCACGAAACAACCCTAGGTGTGGCTCAGAAACAAAAGAGACTTTGGCCATTTCAACATTCTTTATTGGGCTGGCCTGGGAAAAGGCATTTACATAACTTCATCATCTCCATGCACATAAATCCAAAGGCAAAACTATGATCAGCAGCTACCATATCTGTATCTATTCCTTTCTATGTAACTTATTCTATTATGTAACTTATCTATTTCCCAAATCTGAAATGTATAAACTGTACTTTTATTCTACCTTACTCTTAAATGCACTAAATATAAGAAACTATCTGAACATCTTGACTCAAGTCAAAGGGCCATTGCTCAGGAATGCATTTTCAGTCCCAGGCAAAGAATATTTTTGAAAACCCATTAAGTGGGATATAAATACCTAAATATAATAATGGTAATGAAAATAATAAAGTATTTAATCTAGAGGTACTTCCAGTTGCTGGTGGCATGAGAGAACTGGTCGGCGTTTTTGGTGGGGAAGAGTCCATTTTTCTCCTCCTCTATCGGACAAAGGTATTTCCAGCCATTTTAAGCAATTTTAGTAAATTCATGATGTGATTTCCCACTAAAATCTTTTGAACAGCGAGTTTCAAATAATCACAGAATGTCAAAGGAGACTAAAGGTGCATTTGTAAAAATAATGCAGTTTGACACCACTTTGAAATGCTTTGAAAACATGGGAGTTGTAATTTGATGAGGCACCAGCACTTTTTAGCAATGAAGGCTAGACACTGGAAAACTACTAAAGAGCCTCAATTGCAATGCCCCTTTTCTGAGAAGGCAAGCCCTTGCAACCTCTGAGTTTTCCAATAAGGCGTCAAGAGGGAGGAGATTGGTATACACAGACTTTATTTGGCAAATAGAGACATGCATGTGATTGCTCTGAAAGGGAAGTGCCACATCAAATGAGGTCTTACAAGGAATTCTTATAGTTTTGCAGGTGCAATTCACACTTTCAACAGACATTCTCTTTCTCATGCCTATTTCTTTCCATCTTCTCATCTGGCACTTTGATCAAGTAAGCAATTCAAGTACGCAATTTCCCTCTACAATTTTCCAATTACAATAATTCAATAGAGTAGAGCCCCGGTTATTCGACCTCTGCTCATCCGACATACTGTATTATCCAACTCCATCATGTGGCCAATTGGAAACATTGCACCCTTTGATATGTGCTCATGAGAGCAGATGGCTTTCTTTTTTGTTGCAAAAATTGGGAAGAGGAGGAAAGTGCATCTCCAAAGGAAAGGGAAGGGATGGAAGGGGATGAATGAAAAGAGAAAAAGGGATGGGAGAGGGAAAAAGAAGGGAGGGAAGAGGGAAAAGGGATGGCTCTCCTTCTCTTTCTGCTTTTGGTGCACGCAGAGCTTAGCTCTCCTGCTTTTGGATACTTCAACCCAGGCTTGCTTCCAAATCAAGGGAGGGAAAGGGCTCATGGCTGGAAGGAAGGAAAGGGGGAAGAGAAGCCTTGTCGCTTTACCTTGCTGGGTGGGCAGAGGAACCTCCTTCTTCCTGCAAACACACACACACTTTGCTCCAGATCCTCTTTCTCTCTCTTCTCTCTTCCTTATTATCCCCCACGCGCTATCTCTTCTTCCTTCTCCTCCTCCCTCTTTTAGTTCTGACAGCTCTGCAGCAACTTGCACTTCTGGCTTTCTTCTTCTCCTTCTCTTCTAACCCAAGCAAGGATAATGAGAGGCATAGAATCCTAGAAACGCAAGAGACCCCCTCCCTTAAGAGGCTATCCAGTCCAGCCCCATTCTGTTAGGCCGGAAGGCACAAGCCAAGCCCTCCCAACACAGAGCCACCCAGCTCCAGATGAGATTCTGGAGATCGTTGACCAATATCAGTGTTCAGAAAACTCTGGTTTTCCAGTGTTGCCATTCCTATGCTTAAATATGGGATTCTAGAAATGGTTAATCTACAGTATATGAGTGTGTTCCCAACTTTTGTCTTCCAGGTGTTTTGGATTTCAAATATGATGTTTTGGTGCTTAATTTGTAAAATCATAATGTAATTTGACACTTAATAAGCTTTTGCTTGATCCCTCCATATTATCCAACATTTTCGCTTATCCAACGTTCTGCCGGTCCGTTTATGTTGGATAAGTGAGACTCTACTGTATATCAAATACCATCTGGTCCAATCCATCAAACATTGTTTTGTTTGATCTGTCTTAAATCTGTCTTAAATTTTTGCCTGTGTGAGTTCTTTAGCTTGACATTTTGCATATCTAAAGAAGGTAATGCCCTGTTTATTGCCCTGCTTCTCTCCTTAGGATTCAGTTTGATGAATGTTTTCTTTGTTCTGTTTATGTGAGCCTTTTCCTGTGTATGTGTGCGAGTTTCTCATGGCTAAATTCTTCTAACATTGAAGAAACTGAGTTTATTTATCTAGCCCTTTTTTTCTATATTAAGTGCAAGGACCAGGCTGTGGCACAGCTAGTTAGTAGCCAGCTGCATTAAATCACTACTGACTGAGAAGTCATGAGGTCGAAGCCAGCCTGGGTCAGAGTAAGCTCCCGACCATTAATAGTCTAGCTTGTTGTTGACCAATGTAGCCTAAAAGACAGTTGCATCTGTCAAGTAGGAAATTTGGGTACCGCTTTATGAGGGGAGGCTAATTCAACTAATTTACGATGCCATAAAATCTTCCAGCAGTGTGCAGAATAATGAGGAAGTACTTCATCAAAGGACTCAGTGTCACAAGTGGACGGTGAAGTGGCAGCTCCCCTGTGGCTGGAACCGAGCATACCCTCATGAAGCCAGAAAAGCTGGAAATGTTAAATTGCCTCTGTGTCTGTCTATATATGTTTATTATTATTATTGTTGTTGTTATTATTATTATTATTATTATTATTATTATTATTATTATTAAACTTTATTTATACCCCTCCACCATCTCCCCAATGGGGACTCGGTCCAGCTTACATGAGGCCAAGCCCAGAAATGCATTACAACAAAATAAAGCCAAAACAAACAAACAAACAAACAAACATCACAATAAAACAAATAAAACATAAAAATACAATAAAATAATGCAAAATACAGTAATAGATAAATCACAATCACAGTGAGTGGGCCATATGTACAAGTTAAAATGATAAAAACTCAGGATGAGATAGAAATTAAATGCAAATAATTGTGAAGGAGAAACTCATTGGAAAATGGAGTAATGGAGACAGACCTTCAAACAGGCAGGGGGAAGTACAGTGTGGGGACAGACATTATGGGGGAGCAAACAAAAGGAGATGTAGGGTCACTCTCCAAAAGCGCAGCAGAAAAGCCAGGTTTTGAGATCCTTCTTGAAGGCTGCCTAATCTTACCCAGAGTAGTGGGGCCACGGAGGAGATGGCTCTCTCCGTCATTCCCATAAGCCGGGCCTGTGAGAGAGGAAGGGCGAAAGGAGGGCCTCTCCCGAAGATCAAAGAGAGCGGGCTGGTTTGTGGAAGGAGGTAGGTGGGTTCCAAACTGTTTAGGGCTTTATAGGTGATCACCTGTACCTTAAATTGGGACCGGAAAATAAACGGCAGCCAATGGAGCTCCTTAATGGCATTAGAATCATAGAATCAAAGAGCTGGAAGAGACCTCATGGGCTATGGTCCAACCCCCTGCAAAAAAGCAGGAAAACTGCATTCAAAGCACCCCTGACAGATGGCCATCCAGCCTGTTTAAAAGCCTCCAAATAAGGAGCCTCCACCACACTCCAGGGCAGAGAGTTCCACTGCTGAATGGCTCTCACAGGAAGTTCTTCCTCATGTTCAGATGGAATCTCCTCTCTTGCAGTTTGAAGCCATTGTTCCATGTCCTAGTCTCCAGGGAAGCAGAAAACAAGCTTGCTCCCTCCGCCCTGTGACTTCCTCTCACATATTTATACATGGCTATCATGTCTCCTCTCAGCCTTCTCTTCTTCAGGCTAAACATGCCCAGCTCTTTAAGCCGCTCCTCACAGGGCTTGTTCCTCAGAACCTTGATCATTTTAGTCGCCCTCCTCTGGACACATTCCAGCTTGTCAATATCTCTCTTCAATTGTGGTGCCCAGAATTGGACACAATATTCCAGGTGTGGTCTAACCAAGGCAGAATAGGAGCATAGTGTCTAGATCCAGGGAAGTCATGCTACCCCTTAGCATGACTTCCCTGGATCTAGACACTATGCTCCTATTGATGCAGGCCAAAATCCCATTGGCATTGGATGTTTGCCATGGATTGTACTCCATCTTGAGTCCCCTGTGGGGTGAGAAGGATGAAAGATAAATACTGTACATAAATAAATATACTATTGCTATTGATTAATCAAATTAAATTAGGTTCAAATGAGGTCCTTGTCCTTGTCCCCTTCACTACAACTCTCATGATTTCAGTGGATTGAGCCATAGCAATTAAATTGGAGTGAAACTACACTTCTTCCACTGTGTAGACCAGGGGTCCTCAAACTAAGGCCAGGGGCCAGATACAGCCCTCCAAGGTCATTTACCCGGCCCTGGCTTAGGGTCAACCTAAGTCTGAAATGACTTGAAAGCACACAACAACACCAATCCTATCTCATTAGCCAAAAGCAGGTCCACACTTCCCGATGAAATACTAATAAGTTTATATTTGTTAAAATTGTTCTTCATTTTAATTATTGTATTGTTTTTTAAGTGTTTTTTTGTATTACAAATAAGATATGTGCAGTGTGCATAGGAAAGCATTAATGCTTTTTTCAAATTATAATCCGGCAGTTTGAGGGACTGTGACCTGGCCCTCTGTTTAAAAAGTTTGAGGACCCCTACTGTAAATAAATATACTATAGCTATTGATTAATCAAATTAATTGAGGTTCAAATGAGGTCCTCGTCCCCTTCACTACAACTCTCATTTCAATGGATGGAGCCATAGCAATTAAATTGGGAGTGAAACTACGCTTATTCCACTGTGTAGACACTCCTCAAGTGGTTTCTAAACGTGACACATCGTGCTGTGTTGTTGTTTGTGCCCACTTATTCTCTTTGACTACAAACAGCCAGGGTCGGGTTACATAATCGACACAGCTTCCTTCCCTCTTCGAATCTCTCTCCTGGCTCTTTAAAAGAACGAGAAAAACACCGTCCAGAAGCGAAAGGGGGGAGGTGGTTAAAAGCGTCCCCTTCCGGCTTCCATCCACGTGTCCTCTTCCTCAGCCTGCCGGGAAGCAGAGCCCTTCCTCTTTCGCTCAGGAACTCCGTTTCCTATCAGCGACCGATGAGCCAAGGCGCATGCGCGCGCGGCGGCACCCAACGCCCGCCCCTGCCCAAGAGGCTCTCGGGAAGGGTAGTTCAGAGCGGCGCGCTCTCGCGGGCGCTGTACTGGCGGAAGGACTTCATCCCCCAGCATGCTTTGCTGAGTCGTTGGATGTATCTGTGGTCAAAGAAGGGAGAAAAAAAGAGGGGGGCCATTCGTCACGTGCGGCGCGAGGTGCGTGTTCCGTTGATGCTGCTGAGGGAAGAGGAGGAGACGACAACCACGACGGAGGAGGAAGGAGGAGGAGAAGAGACGGCGACGCTGTTGCTGCCAGGGGCCTGTTGTCGTCGCCGACGCAGTCGCTGTCGCTGCTCCTCTCCGCTGCGGCTCGGCCCAGCAAGGCCCCGGAGGAGACCCCGCCGCCGCCGCCACCGCCACCGTGGGCAGCATGAGCGACAACGATGACATCGAGGTGGAGAGCGACGTGAGTTTCCACCGTCCCGCAGAGAGGCTGCTGACAGTAGTGGCGCCTCGGCCCCTCTTTCGTTCGCCCTGCCTCACAGCCAAAGGTTCAGTCTGCGCGATGCCTCTCTGCCTTCCCTTCGCTTCAATGGGGCCCCTCAGGAAGGGAGAAGCCCCCCCCCGTAGGCCCCCCGGGGTGAGGGAGGGAGGGAGGGCCTGCTCGCCCCCGGAAGTAGTATAGGGGAGGGAGGCGGGGTCAGTTGTGTCTGGGGCAGAGGGAGGGAGGGAGGAGGTTGGAATCGAGGTAGGCCTGGGACGTGTTTGGCTAACTGGTGGGAAAGGGGAGGGGGATGAGGAGGGAAGGAGTTGGGGGGAGTTACGATGGGGAGTTGGGGAGAGTGGGCAGCTGGATTCGAAGTCTTGTGCCTTTCTAAATACTCCTAGGATTTGGGATTTTGAGGCACAGTACATGTTTGGCTAGACGTGGGTGGGATTATGTACAGTGGCATAGTAAGAAAATGGCAAAATAAAGGTTTGAAATTTGAATACTGTTCAGTATGCGTTGGCTGGGGGTGGGTGGGTAAGAGGAAAGGAGATGGGAAGGATGTTGCATTGTGCATTTTGTTTGTGTTTAATTTAAAACAAATAGTTGTTTTATATTGGTCTGGTGTATTATTCTTGGGCTTCTCCTCATGTTAGCCACCCCGAGTCCCCATTGGGGAGATGCTGGCAGGTGTAAATAATATTTTTATTTATTTATTTATTTGGTAGTTTTGTATACCGGTCTTCTCACCTACATTCGAGGGACTCGGGGCAGTTTCCAACATCAATATTACAGACTGTCATTAAAACATAATATTTCTAAATCACACTAAAACATTAAAATATTGAAACAATTAAAATGACAAAAATACAATCATATGATTACAGTGGTCAGTCATCATCAAAGTCATTATTCGTCGTCATCCATCCATATCACAGGATCATGGCTCATTCATTGAATGCCAATCCCCAAAGCCAGGTTTTCACCTGTTTCCTGAGTGTTAAGATCGAAGGGGCAGTTCTGATCTCCAGTGGAAGGGAGTTCCAGAGTCAAGGGGCCAACACCGAGAAGGCCCTGTCTCTCGTCCCCACCAGCCGCGCCTGTGAGGCCGGTGGGATCGAGAGCAGTGCCCCTCCAGAAGATCTTAGTAATCTTGATAGCTCATAGGGGAGGATACGTTCGGACAGGTAAATTGGGCCGTATAAAACTTTTACACCCCAGTCTTCTCAACCTCTACAGAGGGACTTGGGCCGGCTTACAGCATAAATTAGTACACAAATACAATTAAAAACATAATCACATCAAAAAGTTAAATATAACAGAATAAATTCACAAACCAAGTCGCCAAGATAAAATAAAATAAACTTTATTTCTATACCGTCGTATCTCCCCGAGGGGACTCAGGGCGGTTTACAACAGAAGATTGGCAAACATTCAATGCCGGCATAACATAACAAACAAATCAAATCATAAACAATAAAATAAAGAACATCAGGTGTACTTATAGAACAACTCAAAAATAACAAACTTAGATATTTAAATATATAAATCAAACATTTAGAACATGTTTACTACTAGATCTAATGATAGCAAACACTCAAACATAAGTAAAAAAGGCATTTACAAGTCAACAGGGCTGAGGTGGTGTCCAAGTCAGAGTGATTAAGGTGCTGGCCGAAGAAAACTCTTATTATTAATGAGATGGAGGGGATTGATAAGGTAGGGGGGTGGCTCTTCTGGACTCTTGGACCAGTTCTTAAACACGCTTCTGGAATGAGCTTCGTGTATTCCAAGTAGACTGGAACGTACTTAGTCCAAATCTTTTTGATACTGGTTTTAAACCACTTAATTGGATGTGTTGCAATAGCAGTTTTCCAGATTAGTTTAGTGTTTACACCTTATTTTATTTTCTGGTTATTTAATGTTTATTTTGCTTAAGTGATATTTGTCTTTACTGTTCTAATGTAGCTCAAATCCTATATAAAATCATAGTATGTATTTTTGACATTAATATTGAAATCTGAAATATATACAGAAAGTGATGTCTCTTTGCAAGTACAGTGGAGTCTTGATTATCCAACCTTCGCTCATCCAAAGTTCTGTATTATCCAATGCAGTCTGCCTGTTTCAATACATTGCAATGTTTTGGTGCTAAATTCATAAATACAGTAATTACTACCTAACGTTACCATGTATTAAACTGCTTTTTCTGTCATTTGTTGTAAAACATGATGTTTTGGTGCTTAATTTATAAAATCATAGCACAATTTGATGTTTAATAGGCTTTTTCTTAATCCCTCCATATTATCCAACATTATCCAGTGTTCTGTCATCCCGTTTGTGTTGGATAAGCAGATTCTACGATCCTTTATTTACCAGCTGCTGTCCGTTGAACAATTTGAAGCTTCTTGGTAATTTTTGGGATTTGGTTCCAGGACTCTCATTGATACCAATATCTGTGAATGCTCATATTCCATTATATAGAGTAAGATTGTATTATCGTGGTTCTTAAGTAGAAATGGCAAAATAATAATAATACTTTATTTCTAACCTGCCCTCTCTCCTGGGGGGGACAGGACTCAGGGTGGTTAGTAACAAAAATGGCAGACATTCACTGCCTAAAACAGACAAACAACAAGTCAAGACAAAAATAATAAATAAAACAATCTCAGCATAATTTATAAAACTAACCAAAAATTAGCCGAGAATTAAACTTGAATAAGCATAATATAATTATTTATTATTTATTTTTATTTGCTTTATTTCTATACCGCATTTTTCAGCCTCAGGCGGCGACTCAATGCGGTTTACACAGTGCAATTTATCATAACAATAACAAGTGGTTAAAACACATCATAAACAACAGACAACAACAATTAATTATCCTATCAACGCCTCAATACAATCAGAATCCGTTCTCAATATCCTTATGCCATTCCAGTGTTCGATATGCCGTCTTCTTAAGTTTAGTTGCACCGTTTAGCCAAATGCTTGCTCATAGAGCCACGTCTTGACCTTCTTCCTGAATGCCAGCAACGAAGGGGCCTGTCTGATGTCAGCGGGTAGGGCATTCCATAGCCGAGGGGCCACCACCGAGAAGGCCCTGTCTCTCGTTCCCGCCAACCGCGCTTGTATGTATAACACATGAGCTCATATAAATTAAACACAATACATTAAAAACATGAGGTGGTATACAATATCCAGCGAGCTAAGATAGGTATTTGATATCAAAGTGAGGAGATAGATAGATATACTCGTCCTGCTCCTCTCCATAAGCTAGGGTGCATAAATAAGTTTTTTAAAGCTTTTTAAAGGAGAGGAGATATGGCACCATTTTTAGTTCTTTGGGGAACTAAAATCAAGGTTTGCTTTTGGGAAGAAAAACTGGAATATTTTTAAAATACAAATTTGGTTTGCGGGGGTGGGGGGTGGGATGGATGAGTCAAGCTAGGTGGGTGTGCCTGGAGAGTTGTCTCATAGTAAGTAGAGTGGACCCTCAGTATCTGTTGAAAATTAGTTCTAGGACCTTTGTGGATATCAAGATCCATAGATGCTCAGCTCCCATTATATGCAATAAGTAGTACAATAGTGTCCCTTATAGAAAATTGCAAAATCAGGCTTCGTTTTTTGGGATATAAAACTTGAAACATTTTCAATCCATAAATGGTGAAATTTATGGAAGTAGAATCCATGGATACAGAGGGCCAACTGTAATTTGCAGGGCAGGACAAGAACAGTACTTTGGAATAACTGAGAAGGAGTAAGAATAGAGCCCCCTCTCCATGCATTTTTCTCTCTCCAGGTTTTCCCTTCAGATTCCTTAAGCGTATTAGGAAGATGTTGAAATCATGATGGGTGGTGGGGATTGGCCTGTTAAGAAAAAATACAGGTTGGGGATCCCTTATCCAAAATTCATGGGACCAAAAATGTTTGAATTTGGGGGGGGGGGGAATCTTAGAATACATGAGATATCTTGGCAATGTGGTCCAAGTCTAAATATGAAATTCATTTATGTTTCATATACATCTTTATGCACATAGCCTGAGGCTAATTTTATACGCAGTATTTTAAATAATATGCATGAAACAAAATTTGTGTACCTTGAACTGTCAGAAAGCAATGGTGTCACTATTTCAGTAATAGGGAGGCTTAGCTGCAATATGTTTTTCCTTGTAAAAAGATAAAAATGGAATTGCCACAATTTCCCAGTTGGTGTGTTAGGGAAGCAGGAATCTCTCTTCCCCCTCTATATTTTGTGATCTTGATATCTTGACTTTCAGCAGTAAATTTGGGCACTGCAAATTACACTCTCCTCAAATTCCTCAGTAATTGGGTTCTGGTTTTGAGGGGTTTTTGTTTGTTGAATGTTGCACTGCTGAGGACCACCCCCCCCCCCCTTCATTTTGTTTTTGTGGCTGCTGCCAGAGGATTTAATGAACAAAGAGCAGGTAAATCTCTTATTTTGGTGTTTAATCTCCTTAGTGGATTATAATGGAAACACTGGCTGCTACAGAAAACTTCTCCAAAGCAGCTTGACTTGACTCTTGTTTTGTTGCTGAATATTTTGTATATATTTTGAATATACTTTTTAACACCTAGAGTAATTTATAACAGGAATTTCAAACTTTATTCTAAAAATCTGCAGTCTAGTGAAAAGCTGTATTAGTGATAATGCAGAGTAGCCCGTAATGCTACCAGATGTTTCATCATTTGGAGGAGGAATACAAGGATCTAGTTCTTCTTCTTGTTCCATTTGTTCCTGGATGCTCTGTGACATAGTTGGGCTGCTTTCCCTAGAAATGTGTGAATGGCATGGTACACAAGCCCATGGAATGTTTATAGATTTGAACCAATAATTTTGTTTGTTTAGTGTAGAGTTATATGAAGCAGAATATAAGGCAGGGTTGATGAGTTTAGGGAAAAAGATGTCCTTGTTTGAAATTAAAGGGATTTCAGTTGCAAAAAATAAATTTAAAAAG